AATATTTTATGAATATAAGCAGCATTTTAAAGAAGAGAGGACCAAACTTCATCCACGGTTATACTAGACAAAAGAACAGAGGATGACCTCCAAGAGTTATTGGCTGAATTAAGGGATGCACCGCCCATTTTGTCAGAGTATTGCCTTATCTTTGATGAATAAAGACAGACCAGATTCTGTTGTTACTTCTTGTGCTCCTGAAGTCAAATATATTTAGACTCTGGTAAAGGCTTTCTCATTTTTGCGATGGTGCTGAATTCATGTCTTTAAACATACAATTTAAGAGTAAATCACACATATATAGACTGAATATGGAACTACAATGAACACTGAGGTCAATGTCAATACAATTCATGGTAATTCCAACAATTAACACCCAAATAACAATCCACATAGCCTCAAGATACAGTCAAAACAGTCAGAAACAGGTAAGGTCACAGTTCAAAGTTGCAAATAAAAGTGCATTAGCTTCCAAGAGGTGAAGCCCCTCCTAGGTTCTCTATGTAAAGGTATCAATCTTGCTTCCTACACTGGCAAGGTGCAAGGTGGATGAGAGCAATACAGATGTGCCTTTAAATAAAGGTAAGTAGTTGAAGTTGAGTTGTTGCTACACAGGATGTGATGTGACAGTAGGCACTCTGGATTCCAGCATAAAAGCACTTTAATGAGGCAGCTAAACAAAAATCAGTCTGTTTAGTCAGAGCCTCCCTCTTCCTCCCTCTCTCTTTTTTTTTGTGTTTTCTGCTGCATTGCAGATGTGGCGGAGGGACTCCACCTCAAACTAATGCACGTACACTTAAACCAGCTCCGCACAAAAAGAGACAAAGGGTTTGAAAAATAAAAGCATCAATAAAACACACATTAAACCCTTTTTTCTCCACGTGCTCTCCCAGATAATTTGGGTGCACCATGTTAATGAAGTTTATTGCTTTCTGCCCATGGACCTGTACTTATTGATTTTCACATGTATACAGAGATTTTACACCAGGACTCTCACACATTTGTTCTGCCTCTACATTAACAGGGAGAAGGTTTATTGGAAGCGAGAGCCTCTACTTGATTCTCCAAGTCCTTCAAAACCCTGCGTGACCCCCTCTCTGCAGCTGTATTTCGCTCTGTAAGCAAGGAGGGAAGCCCTGACTCGGGAGAAAAAGGAGTGAAGGGAGTCCCCAGGGGGAGAGATGTGTGTGAACTTATTTGTGGTGAGAGCAGCTGAATCAGATATACATCATTTAACTCCCTTTCAATAGCAGCTCACATGTCTCCTGTCTCCATTCATTCAAACAAATGGCGATGCCAAACTCTTAGAAGAGGCCGATATTTAACGTTTTGGAGCTGGAAACCGGAGACATTCATCTGTGATTAAAGGCGGTAAATTCAGGCGACAGAAGGCGGGGTCCACCAATCAAACATGTGCTTCAATAGATGGCCCACAGAGATAAATGACAAACTTTACATGGTACAGTATAATTCAAGCAGATCCTTTGAAGTGGATTGTGGGAGTTTGGAGAGCAGACAGGCTGGAAAAGACTCGCAGTAAAGACATAAAGACATAGACTGAACACAGCAAAACACACACATGCAGTCCGGCCCTTCACTTGCAGTAAATAATAAATAATAGTAAATAATAATAATTCTGTCTTTATGTGACCCTCAAAATAAATCGGTAGCATTACAATACGGGGGTTATACAGAGTAGATTTTTATTTAAAAAGCCTAACATAAGTAGATGCCATCATAAATCCAGCCTTAAATTGGCAAAGTCTTTTTCTAAAAGCAGAATCAATAGACTGTGATCTTAAATCTATAGAGATTCCAGTTCTTGATTTGAAAAAGATATATATATTTTTTATATTTGCCCTCGCTGGCCATCCATTTTTTCAAAGATATGATGATCTCTTTTTGATGAGAAAACACACCCTTTACCTAATATAAATTATTTTTGATCTAATTGCTGAACTGAGTAAGGATGACTGAATATTAGCTATTTTAATTGTCAATGAGTTTTTGATAAATGAAGCAAGAAGAAGTTGAAAAATAATAATATATTCAAAAATGAAGAATTTCCTGCTGATATGTTCGTGGTCATTTTAGGGTGAGAGAGAGAGATACACTTTCAGCAGATAACAGGAAGGCTTAGGTCTTACAGCAAGGAGACTCTGACTGTGATGGAACCTGTTGGTTTAAAGAAATTGCATCATTAAAAGAAGGATCGAAATTTTAGTGGTATGCTATGCCTAGATGATAATACAAGATTGCTAAAGACGAAAATGTTAGACTGTCTAATTTATAGAAAAATTAAGACCTTTTTTTGTAGCAAGTGCTCCATCTTTGTGGGAATGGCTGATTTTTTTAATGTGATATTTGTTTTTATGTCTTCCAATAGTTTTTAAGAGTCCGGAGTAAATATGTAATTTATACCGGCTAGATTTTTGTTTGATGCATCTGTAACAGATTTTTAAGCTAGTGCGAAATCCTGCCCGAGAGTAACATACAATACCAATACTTTGGTAGTGTACGAACTGCAAAATTAAGTTCTATATCTGCAAATTTAGTTGAAATTAAAAGGGAAGTTTATAGTAAAAGATTTACCAGATAATTTGGATTTCTCGGCTTAGTATACTATTATTTTCTGTTATTGGTACTATTCATTAAAGGCTAAAGTAACCTAGGTGTTTTCTACAAAATACCCATAAAGGTGAAAACCTCATAAGTAATATGCATTTTGAAAAGAACAATATAATCAGTTTTGATATATAACTCAGCATTCTTTTACTTTACTTAATCTTGATTTTCTACAACATATAATAATCTCTTTCAAAGCAGTAAGAGTGATCTCTGCTTCACTCAAAAATACTTAATGTAAGCTGATGGCTGCTTATAGATCAGCTAAGAACTAATAGAACCAAGCTAACAGCCACTGCTAGTTTTCTTTTCTTTTTTGGGAACGACAAATTTAGTGACATTTTAGGTGTTGTTGAAAAATTTGGCAATGACAAAGGAAAAGATCAGTCTGAGATTACTACCTTCAACAAGCAGCAAGTGCAGCTGTAAGACTCTTTCATATACAAAGTGGCCAGTCTGACAGCAGGATCATTACTCAGCAAACTGTACCTGCAGTCAGAACTAAGAGGCCCAAACCATTTTGGTTCATGAATTGTCCAAAATCCTCCATCTGATTTAAATGCAACCCCATTGACTTATTCTCTAAATTATCTCTAAGCTTTGTGTATCTGCTAGTATAACTTGATTTTTTGTAGTTTGGTTAAATCTAATTAGTCTACTAAAAGTAACTAAATGATTCCATAGGCTTCATCTGTATTTTTAGACCTATTTTTTACTCACTTTTGGTCTTATTACTGATGATATTTATCTTCGAAGAATTACCAAATATGAAAATGATTCAATGTATAATTAAGATACAGTAAATTCTCCTGCTGAGGAGCTTGCAACAGAGGTAAACAGCAACTCATAGTCTAATTAGCAGTATCTGAGGTGGCTTCCACATACAAGGTACACCGTGAGCTGCACAGACGGCACCAATCAAATGTACCAATCTCCTACATTTCTGATAAATTCTTACATATCTCACATTTTCTGACAGTTGCAGAAACAATAGGTATGGATAGTAGCAAGTTTAATGAGTAAGTCGAGTGCCTAGCACAATATATACAGTATTTTAATTATTTCTGTATTATTATTTACATGTTATTAATATTTTATATTATCATTTTAAATACCTTATATTAATAACTTCATCTTCATGCTTCAAACCGCTAACTGCCACTCTCATATTGCTTTTAGAATGCAGAATCTACTCTTTTTAATGGGTGGAAACTAATACTTTTAGCACCTCCTAAAAAGAATAGTATGTGCAGTTTACAGTGTCTAGTTTTGAATCTTTGAAGATCAGAGTCTAAATCTCTCCTCTGTCCTGTCTGTGTGAGCGTGTATGTGTTGTCTTGGGTTTATACAGAGGTAACAAAGTAAAGGAAATGCAAAAGTATTGCCTGAATTTTGTTTAGGAACAAAAATATTTAGTAATTAGAATATAGTATGTACAAGTATTTAATTCAATAGAAGAAAAGTGCTCAAATAATCTCATTGCTTCTCAAATTCTTTGTAACAACTCAAGTTGAACCTCATTCGGATTTTTTAAACATTGGTTGCTTCCACAAGAGTCACCTTGGGGATAGTTACTGGTTATACCTTATATAAATAAATAAATCACTTTAAACAAGCACATCAAATGACCACCTCTAGTTTGGTGAATTCAAATTAATTAAGGTTGTCATTAACCACAAGGACTTCTCCAGCAACCTGAGGCAGGTTTTAAATCATTAGAGAAATATCTTACTTTAAAACTTTAAAACTAAACTTTGTCATTGTGTATGTTCCTTTCTTTGCAGTATACTGCTAACATTATATACCCGTTTTATTATATTACCTTTAAAAGTATCTGATAATGTGAAATCTGTGGATTACCACCAGAGATGGGAAGTAACAAAGTACAAATACTTCGTTACTGTACTCAAGTAGATTTTTCTGATATTTTTACTTTACTTTACTACTTATCTTTATGGCGACTTTTTACTTTCTACTCCTTACATTTTTACACAAATATCTGTACTTTCTACTCCTTACATTTAAAAAAATTGGCTTGTTACTTTAGTTTTGAATCATTTCAATGGAGTTACCGTTATTATTTTTCACGTCATCAATACCAAATTCAATCTAATTGGATGGGAATCTACGTTGCATTTGATGCACCACTACAAGATGAATCGACAGATTCCGCGGTATTCATTTGCGGCAAATCATTGCAGCTTGGTGGCGGTGGCGTTAGCATAGTAGTATGGACGACGAGATGATTGAAAATGAACACATCGGAGATCTAGTCCTATTGGCTGACATCAATTTAAAATGTAGGCAACGGCATGAAAAAAGTGGTTTCTACTTTTACTTTTATACTTTAAGTAAATTTATAAGCCTGTACTTTGTTACTTTTACTTGAGTAAAGAAGTTTAATCAGTACTTCCACTTTTACCAGAGTATTTTTTAACACAAGTATCTGTACTTTTACTCAAGTACAGAAAGTGAGTACTTTTGCCATCTCTGATTACCACACATAATGTATTATAAAAAGTATTTGATAAAACCTATAAATTGAGTCCTAAATGCTATCTGTTTGAAATAAACAATTCCTTACAGTATTCACTGCATAACACACATAATTCCCTTAAAAAAGAGCTTTAGCCCTTAGCAGGTTTACTTTTAATTCTTTCTTTTAAACACACATCAAACTTCATGACTAATAAACAGTCTTGGAAATCTACTACACAGACTTCCAAACCTTGGAAAAATGTTATATAAAATCTCTTAGATGGTCATATTCATAAAAAAAATATTACATTATATCCAACTAATATATCTCTAGCATGCTAGAACCTTATTTTATAAAGTATTCATAAATCACAAATAATTTGCTATGACTGGATAAAGAGATCATTGGGGCTGTGTGCTTAAACACAACCATCCCAAAGGTCTGTTTAAGTGATTAAATAAAGGCCTTTAGTGTGAAAGTGAGTGTAAAAGCATCTGTACTGGAGAAAATATATATTTTTAATTTTTTTAAGCCCTTCTTGCCTACACATTTTATCTCTTAATAGATTTAATTTCTTTAATATTTGTTCATCAACTTACTGCTTTCAATTTCCTTTATCTCCAAGATAACAGAGTATTTTGCTCAATGCTTTGCTCGAACGGGTTATCACTTTTAATTATTTACAACCATAGGATCAAGGGACCAGAGGATTATGCATGAAAGGACAGGCGTGCAAAAACGTGCATCCGTCCGGCGCAATAAATCCCTCTTTAATTTCTTTTTGTTCTGCATTTCATCGCTAATTACCCTTTCTAAAATGTCCTTTGCCTCCTTTATCCGACCCATTTTTCATCATCCAGATCTTTTGTGTTGCTTTACAACCAGTTCCTGAACATATGGCACTCTCTTTGTTTTCTGTAGCACATTACCATTAGGCTATAAGCAATTACCCCACTGGGCATACAGTATTACCCAGGAAATTTAATATGAAAAAAAATATATTGTTTATAGTGTGCTTTATCCATTTGGCCTTTTACCTCTTTGTTAAGAAACTTTGGTACTTGTTGTAAAACCTATTAAAAAGACATAGGTAAGTTCCGAATTGTATTAATAATGTTTAAATGTCAGCAAACTTGGGGCTCACAGGATGACTAAAGTTAGGGGAAGAGCATAGATCTGTTATAAGAGACATTAAAGTTTGCATTGCTGAAACATTGAATATTAAGGTGGCTGAGGGTGATAACCGTTATACTGAGGTGAGGGCAGAAAAACCTTGTGAAGTTTAGCCAGTCTAATATCACAGCCACGTACTTCTAACCTTTGGAGTGTGAAACTGAATTTGAACAGCGCTCCTGCCTGTGTAGATGTTAGCTCAGATTTAAGAATATCTATTGACTCTGTACAGCTTTAAGATGGGCTGTATTCTTATTTTACTCTGAGAAACAACTATCTCCACTGAATAGTTGTTAGCTCATCTGTGTAATTGGTAGCTTGACTCTCAATGGCCATTACGTTCTATCCACTGAATCGTTACCTTGAGTCTTTGACTTGTTAGGGCAAAAAAGTTAGCTATACTTATAACTGAGAATTTTTTTTCTCTCTGAGTGTTGGGCACAGCAGGTAAACTGAAAAGAAATGCAACACTGCTCTAATCTCATAGTTTAAATGTGAAATATGCTTGATAATTTACCATTTTAGCCTCCTCTTACCTTTCTTACATCAGCAAATTTAGACGTCAACAACATGTGGAACCAAACTACATAACATAGTTTTCAAATATCAATAAAATTAAGCAAAAAACATAAAATAGGGCTAAATTAGAGTTAAAAATTTAGCAGAATAACTTGGATTGGTAATATAAAAAAACATATTTTACATTTTGGCTCTTTATCTGCATATAAAACATAACTTAGATTTGTAGCACAGTTGGAATTTAATTATGAAAGATACTATTCTGCATATTTTAAGTCAAAGACGATGACACGCAGATGCTATGTGGCGCTTGAGGGTTTGTGCAAAAGAAAGGCTTTTTTCAATGCTATTACAATTACTACCCGTCATATCTTCATCATCTCCCAGAAAATACACACCTGTCACTGTGTGAGTATATCAATGCACCAGTGCTGGTGTGCATGTTGTAATGATCACAGAATTAAGTTTTTTACTTAAGAACACCAGATCACAAATCAAATGGTGCTAAAGATGAGGGAAAAGAAGTTTCATATGTTTAGACACACACACACAAACATGGCTGACAAGATCTAGGCCATCTCTGAAAGTCGCTGACGCAAACGGAAGATGTGGACAGAGCAGATGGCTGTAGAGATGAAACAGTGTGACAGCCTTACTTTAACATGGCTTTGTGTCAAGCTAACATTAGCAGAAAACCCTGCAGGGAAATAAAAAGCCATTTGTGAAAAATGTGCAGATTTTCTCATTGCACCCATCACGGCGAAACCAGGAAGACCTTGCTGGGATATTTGGTTGACCGGAGGAATTCTCGCTGGCATGACGGCTGGAGGGCGTCCTTCCAGCTGGTGAAACAGGCTGTGGTGACATGCTTTAAAACACTAGGCCACTGTTCAGCTCTATACTGAGTTATTGCTTATACACCCCAGGTTCAGCTGACCGTAGAGCGCTCTTTAATAAGAAGGTGGAGAGCTGGTGTGGTAGAGGTCTAAGAAGAAAAAGGGGGGACTTCCCCCTTCTCAAACTTCTCCCTGCATTGACGCTTTAACACCAGAAAGCTTCAGGTTCAGATCCCAGGCAAGAGGTTGAAGTTTGCATCAACGATGTCCTTTAGATGTCCGCTGGTGACTGTCACCCTAGATTGTTCACCCTCTGTGTCTCTCAGTGCTAGGAAGAGGAGGTTTTGGTTTTGGACTGAGCATCTTTCTTGCCGTTGTTAAGCACAGGTGAGTCACTGGAGGTCTTGGGTGTTTTTCTAGGTGGACTCTGTTCAGCAACATCATGTAAGGAGGGCTCCCTGTACATCGCCACTGGGTAGAAAAAATATAAAGAGATGGAAGCATTATTAAAACTGAGAAGGACATAATTGAAGTCATCACAGCTTTTGTCCCAGATTGGAAAGAAATACAATGTCATCCTTTAGCCAATTTCTTATATAGCTTGTTATTGAAGAACCTTCTTACATAATTCTTTCTATATGTAGGAATTATCTTTAATGGTATAGATTGTGAGAATGTATTAGTTTTCTGGGTTTCCTGGAACAGATCTGGCAACTTTCTCTAGTTTACATCTGAATAATAATAATTAAAAAAAAAAGAAATTAAGAGTACAAGGAAGAAGAAAAGGAAGATAGTAAGGACATGATAAGGACAAGCTGAAGAAAACGAAGGGTATGACATGAAGAAAGTTAAGGACATAATGCTGGAAAGAAAGAAGAAATTATACAATAAAAAAAGAAAGAAATCACAGAAGAAAGGAAATAACAAAAGACAAAGAAGAAAGTAAGAAATGGATACTAATAAAGTTGTAAAGAGGAAGAAAAACAAAGAGAGTAAGAAATAACAAATGCATAGAAGAGGAAGGAAGGAAGAGAGAAAGGACACGAGGATGGACGAAAAAAGAATGAATGCAAGAAATGACAGAGAATAAGAAGATCTGGCTTCCAACTGTCTTAGTCTATGTCTATTCTAAACTTTCAGTGAGAGCAGGTGCCTCGGGTGTTTGTTGGTTCTAGCTAAAGATCCTCACCAATTATCAAACATCTGCAGGGAACCCTGCGAGTCAGTTGGTTAAACCTTGGACTGAATGTGCAGTTCCAAAAGCAAATTGATATGAGACAGACATCAAGCTTAGCTTTGAGTAGATAAATACGATTAAAAAACATTTGTACAAAACCAGTGGTTTGTGCCAGAAAACTAACCAATTCAAATGGGCTCCACCTACTGTTTTGAGACTTTAGCATCTTGCCATCAGCTTAAAGGGTAACACCGTTTTTTTTTTTTAAATTAGCCACTCGATTTTATGTTATTATATAATGTTCTTCTCACCCATATTAGTTTTGTGTCATTTGGAGCTGTTTCGAAGATATTCAGTTTTGTAATCCAGTATAACGTCTTCCTATGGGCAAAGGGTTGAAGGCACAAACTACACTGTTCATAATTTATCATTTATGGTACGCCAGCATTCATAACATGTAGACAAATAACTGTCCCCCAGACATCCGCGGTTATATTTTTTATATTTATATTTTTTTAAACACAAAGCGGAGTGTGTATGACGTCATCCGCGCGCCGGCTACCATTCATTCATCCTGTCCGCTGAACTGCTGCTAGTTTTACTCACATGCCTGGAAGATGTCTAGTGCTACTACCACAGATGATCTCGCTCTCGAAATGGAATTGAACGATTCAGATTAGCTAATTGAAGGAGTAGAGCGTAATCGCCTGTGGCCCGGGTTGCCTGTCAAAACTCCAGTCTGGCGGGCGGATGACGTCATACACACTCCGCTTTGTTTTAAAAAATATAAATATATAAAATATAACCGCGGATGTCTGGGGGACAGAGATTCGCCTACATGTTATGAATGCTGGCGTACCATAAAGAATAAATTATGAACAGTGTAGCTTGTGTCTTCAACTCTTTGCCCATAGGAAGATGTTACTTGGATATAACCTAACCGAATATCTTCAAAACAGCTCCAAATGACATTAAACTAACATGGGTGAGTAGAACATTATGTAGTAACGTAAAATCAAGGGGCCAATGTAAAAAAAACTTGTTCCCCTTTAAGTAAAGGCTACAGAGCAAGGAAGGAATACAGGCTAAAAAACAACAGCTTTTCTTAAATGTGCAACTATCATCTTTATGAGGCACAGCTGTATAAATTCTTATTTTAAATGTAGAGAAGTTAAAGCTTTTTGAAAACCCAGTAAAGAACTGAAGATAAAATAAGGTTGTGTTATAGATGCTTTTTGACCTTGGTACCTTCAATTAGCTTGGGTAGGAAGTGAGCAGCACCCTTGGTCTTCTTGACGCGGTTCCCCTTCATGACTTGTCCGTCCCGGTTGATGCCGATGTACCAGGCTCGCCCCGATTGGGTTTGTCTGTACAGGATGGACGAGTAGGTGACGTAGTAGTTCTCAAAGACGCTCTCTTTAAACTTACACTCCGGTGTGAAGTGTTCCTGTAAAACACACAAATACAAATATGTAGGAATCGGCTTTTGGCAGAAAACATTTACAGAGACTCTCAACTTAATTTTTCTTTATTATTACTTATATATTGTTGCTCCAGCAGTGCCCCTAGCCCATATGGGAATGGGAGAAAATGGGTTTCACATTTCATTAAGACAGGGTTACAGATCAAGTGCAGCCTCAATGACAAATGATGACAAACTCAATTGCTCATGTACACGACTTTTCGCTAAGCAGGCAGAGCATTTTCTGAATCTGGAAGCAATGATTCAGACAACATACATTGATCAAACAGAATCTTTCACCCTGCTCTTGGTTTATTGACGCCTCTATCGGCCTTCAGCTTGCACACATGTTTAGACATCTCTATGTGATACATCATAAAGGGCAAGATTTGGATCATTATTTATGTATACAGTTAAGAAAAAAATGTTTAAGACACTTAGACAAATTTTATTGACCTTTTGTGTACAAAAGGTCAATAAAATTTGTCTAAGTGTCTTAAACATTTTTTGTATACAAAACGAAATTTCATTCACTACAGCTCTCATGACATTTCCATCATTCTTTAAGTGCAGCAGTGATCAAATGTAAACAGTCCATGGTAGGGGTGTGAGGGGTCATTTACAATGTCAGAGTATAAGTCATTATTAAAATTATTAAGATTCTATTGTAATATAATTGTGTGTTTTTTTGTTTTTTTAGACAGAAATTAACTGAAATACCTCTTTGCTTAAATCAAAAAAGAAAAAAAAGTAAACAAAATTCAGACAGCGTTTCACCAGGAGGTATAAGGGGAGGAGACCCGCCCCCTCGTTCCTCAGAGACTTTGGGGAAGAAGACGGCGTTTTTTCCTTCATTCACTGAAGCTATTCATTTTTACAGGGTTTCCTCTTAGAAGACAGGGAGAAGTTGAGACATCGATACACATCAATTGTTACAATTGTTTCAACCCAGCTGAAACGTGTAACATCTACAGTACATTACAACTTCCCCACCATTCTTCCTCTGCCCTCCTCTCTCTTTGTCTTATTGCCTTTTCCGTCTTACATTCTGCGTCTCCTTCTCTTTACTTTCTCTCTGTTTCTCCATCATTTGGTAACCTTGTCAAGAACCGGACCAATTTACAGGATTGATCTGGAGCCTTGATGTGACAGATGAGTAGGAAAAAGGCCTGAATAAGGACTTTACTTACTCTCTCTGTATTACTTAGTCTCTTCTACTCCATCTCACTGACTTCTATCTCTTTTCTCTCTCCCTCTGTCCGTCCGTCCTGCACCCAACACTTATACAACACATAAACAAGCTAATTACATCGATTGTATCGCCCCGTTCTTTAATTACACATCCATTCACTTAGGCAGCCATTCATTTCTTTGCCACTTATTACTTTAGCTCCATTAGAGCAAAGTGGAGCCTAGAAGTCTGCTGTGTTTTAGAAAGTGTAATCAGATTACTATAACCGTGCCTGTTTGTGTGTAAGTGTGCAGGCAGCAATGCCTGATCAATATCTTCCATATCATCCAGACCACCACCAGGATCATTAATAGATTAATCCAGTTAATTAAACTAGATACTTGTGATAAAGTTAGTGTGTCTGAAACCAGATAAATGATCAGTTAGTGTTTGAAAATAAAACTTGTTGAATGAATGAAATATGCTAACTTCAAATAAGCTGTAAAGATACTGAGCTAAATGTCATACAAGTCTGTCCAGATTGGTCCAAGAAGAAAACCATTGTTGAGACGAAGAAGTGAGGAAGTTGTTTTGCACTAGCTATGTACAGTAAACATTAAATACAGAGGCGTTCTGGTCAAATGTGACCAGAATGAAACCTTTTTCCTATATGTGGATCACTCTGAATAGGCTAATCCAATGTTAAATGTTTAGTTCACTGGCTTTTTATAAAGGGAAAATATTGTTTACCACTCAAAAAGTTTCCCTGTCATTAATTACATTATTTTTCATTTAGGCAAAACATGAACAAAGTGTTAGGATTCCAGTTTGTGTGGGTTGTTTTTTTGTTTTTCTTCTCATTAGCAGAGGAGTATTTGAGCAGCGGGCTGTCACTACCTCCACGCCAGAGTGTTTGCCAGTATTGGGTACTCTCGCCATACTGAGATTAGCAGAGTCTAACCTTAGTCTTGTCTCTCAGAGTCTAAGCTTGCTTTGTTTTTGTTCTCGGCAGGAAGCCTTCCTGAAACACTGGATAAGCCTGGACCTTCTACCCCCCTGGAAGGATTATCTGAGTCACACTGAGCAAGAAGAAACCTCCACATGATCCGTTCAAGTCCACTTATAGAAAACCAGGTGACAGTCCGCTCCTTTACTCCTCTGGGTCGAACGTTAGGCTGCCTGTCCACTCTCCAACAAGTTCCTTCTTCTCTGAATTAAACCCCACAAACTGGATCCAATGAATGACCAAGAACCCCCCAAAGAGTGCCTCTCCAGCAAAATATAATACAAGCCTCAGTCTTTTTTTCTCACGGTCCCTGAACTGATCATTGTGATCTTACCTGCAGAGTTTCCAGTTCCGGTTCACCAGTCAGCTGAGTTCCAACATTATTACCCAGCAGAACAACTCTCTCCGTCATTTTTTTTTTTTGCCAGCCTTCGATAAACCTGTTAACTTTTACCCTTGGTCTCTGAGTGGTTCTCTGCATGTGGGACAGATCTTTAAAGCCCATTTTGACAAAAAGAATGTAAATCCGCTTCAGGTGCTTCTTACTAAGTAATAGAATTAATCTTTTTACCAGCTTTAAAACCACACTGAAACCTGCTAAGCCACGTTACCATTAAGTCTCACAAACTGTGGTCTGTTTGTCAGGTTTTCTTTAATCCACGCCTTTTTTGATGCCTCTTTTTGAAATTGTTCTGGAGTTTCTGACAAACTAAATCAGGCTGAATTCTGTTAAATACACCAGAGATGTCAAGGAAAATGATCCTCTCATGTTGTCTGCCTTGTCTAAATGACAGTTGGTTTGTTAAAGCAGGTGAGCGATGGCATCATCAAGTGCAGGGGGGACCTGATAGCTGCTTGTTTGCTTATTCAGTTCAACCAACAGTCTCTATTGGATCTTCATGGTGTAGCAGTTCATACACGACAAGCTGTTTCAAATAATGAAGATGTAGTACTAATCTAACCCTGACAGAAAATAAACAGAGCGACTGAGATAAAAATGAGATAAATACAAAATTAAGACAGACCTTCCAAATTTTTACCCTGCATTTGAAGACAAAGCTATAAAATTAAGGGTTTGGTAAATGAGGTTCCACTGATCAAATGTATTTCATAAAGTGACTAATCAAAGGTTTACTGCCATAAAGTGTTTAATTATTCTCAAAATGAAAGCTTTTCTATTGCAAGAATCCAGCAAGTCTCATCTTGCCAGCCGCTGTGAAGCTTAATGGGATAACACACAATTAGCCATCATTTACACACACTGCAGGCACACAAGGGGCAGATGCACATCTGTCTGCACAGATGACTATGAAAAAGCTCTGAGAGGCTTCGACAGATTATTTCCTGTTTATCATGAGGATGCCAGTCAACCCGCCTTTCTCTTTCCTTTACATCCAAAACTCTAAACCAGTTTTGGCCTTCATGTTCTACAAACACTATAAATTAACTTTTCTTTCTCCGTGTTCGAAACAGCTCAGACATCATTATCAATGATGCAGTTCCTCCAGTGCTCAGCAGGAGATGCTCAAAACAAGAAGGAGGTATTGGACTGAGTGTGCCTCTCTTACTTTCTCTTTTCAACTCAGAAGATCTCTTTTAGTATTTCAAATCACCCATAACCTAAATGTATGCCTCAGGTGCACACACCTTGTTTTTGGGTCATGTTTTAAACTCCCTGTTTAATTAAACCCAAGCTGACATGCCTTAACATGGATTCAAAATATTATATAATATAAAGTAAGATGTGAATTCAGACTCTGAACTAGAAAATAACATATTTCTAAGAGTTATTTGATCATTTTATGAAAATGTAGATATATCTTAAAATGGAGCTTTTCAGTCTGCAGGAGCAGATGGAAAGAAGACGGAATAATTACATAATCAATATGTTAGGCTTTGCTTAATCTGTCAGTTTACAGGTAAGGTAGGAAATGCAATATCAGCGGACATATTACAAGCAATTTGTTATTTATTCAATGTACTTACTGTAATCTGCAGTCAAACCAAAAATGAATTATTATTTTGTATAATTTGTAAAGGTCTCTCTCTATAAAGTCGAATCATTCCCCTAATGGAGATGGAGCTGAGGAAGGGTTCTGTGGAATAGTTTTCAGCAGTCAGAAGAAAATACTGAAAGCAGTATACAGTTAAATAGACAGATTAGTTTTCCCCAGTAGCAAGAGTTTTAAAATAGATTTCAGCTTTCATAGAATAACTACTTATTGCCAGAGGTTGATTGTAATAACTTCCATTTACTCAGTTACATTTACCTGATGAACAATATGGTGAAATTGTACCTTTAGGAGAAGGTTTACTGTGCCGTACTTTCTCTTTTTACTTGAGTTATATTCTTTTAACACTCTCTGACTACTATGTCCTCTGTGATTAAATTGAACTATTCCAAAATCAGGTAAACATAAAGTAAACAATAGATATTAAAAGTTTAAATTTATGATATTTATTTGGGCATTTGAGTTTTTTAAATTACAGAACTTGCACATAAAGTAAAGTGCACTAAAAAAATTGTCAGCATCATTTCTAAACTTTAAATCTGATGTTAGTATCCAACTATTACTCAGAACTCAAGTAGCATTTTTACTGAATGCTTTTTTACTTTTGCTTGAGTACAACAATTTTAAAGTAATGCTACTCTAAATTTTTGGGTACTCTACCCACCTGTCCTTTTTGCAATGTTATTAAAAATCTTCTATTTTGTCAAAATTATTACATCAGACATTATGGTAACGATACACAGACAAACACATCTTCAACATAAATGCCAGGGCTTTCTATGAAAACAAACAGAAT